AGTCTATTTTAAGAGGCAGATACAAAAGCTCTGCAGCATTTGATGGCTACAAAGGGCTCTCGGGGCTTCAGGTTTGAGGCGAGTGAGGCATGAGGAATGTGTATGCGTTGGTGACCCCATGTCAGCAGCCGCCGTGCTCTGTGCTGGGATCAATTGCTTGCATGAGTCACTGAGCAGGGAAAGTAGGACGCAGGCAAGTCCTGGCAGGATTCTGCCCCAACGGGGTGGGTGGCCAGTGCTGGCCACTGCACATGGAGCCTGACAGGGCCCTAGGAACCAAGTATTAGATGGTGGGGAGATGCTAGCCACGCACACAGCAAGGGTCTCAGTCCTCAGGTGGTAGGCGGAGGGACAGCTGTCCTGAGCACGGGAGACATTGAAACCAAACCAAAGTCAGGCAGAGCTGGGGTAATGAGCACCTGGGAGTCAGGACTCCTGGGTTCTCTGCCAGACATGGCACCCTATCTCTGTGTCTCGGGGCATGATCTGCCCTCTGCCCCAGAGCAGCTTGCAGTCTGGATTGGATGTATCCCGACACCCCCATGTTGGCAGGGAGGGCCATTCCACGTGTGTCACAGTGTGACTGAGGCTAAAGGACTAACTCAGGGTCACAAGAAAAGTGTGTGGCAGAGCTGGGTGCTGCCTAGTGCTCCACAGTCCTAGGTTTGTGTCTGGTATGAGTACCTTGTCCCCCAGCCTGGATGCTGTCATTGCTGATGTGTCCCTGCCTTGGGGAATTCGGTGTCTTGCAGGATCCAGGTGATGGGCAAAACCCATCTCTAGTGATAAGGGCATCTAAGGAACCTGTTGGGTGCCTCTTATGCTCTGATATCCCCCAGCATCCTAACCAAATCACCTGTGCCCCATCCTAGACATGGCTGCGTCTCAGCACCAGGCAGGGAATCTGTTTATGAGCAGCCCCTGTGCCCCACCCCAGAGGGGCCTGCATCTCAGCACTGGGCAAGGCATCCCGGTATGAATGGCCACAGTAGGGATGTTAGATAGTGATTAATTTAATAACCATGTAACCACATCAAAATGTAGCAGTTACACAATTATTCGATAGTCCCCGGGGGTGTGGCCAACAGCCAGTGCGCTCCCGGGGAGCCCCCTGTCACCCTGTGCTGCCTGTGTATCAGGGTGGCAGCAGCCTTCCCTGCCCTCTTCCCTTGCACTTCTGCCAAGCACTGGATCCTGCCCGCCCTCCCCCTCCACTACCTCTGTGGGAGGCAGCAAGAGGGAGCAGGTAGTTCCACAGAGCTGGTCTGTGCGGGGCCAGCTCCATGCGCATATTGGTTCTCGTCTGCCCCTTCCCTCGAACAGGCAGCAGAGCAAGGGAGACAAGCAGCTCCATTGGAGCCCATAGGTGCGGGCAGCTGGCTGGAAAGACGACTTCTCGTGTACCCCCCTCTCACCATCCATGCTGCTGCCTCTCTATCAGAGGTAGCAGTGTGTGTGGGGAGGAGAATGGCTCCAGGGGATCCGGTGCTCATGGGGAGCTGGCTTAAAATGTGTGTAGTCCAGGCTAGGGCCGGACGGAGGCATGGGTGAGCCGGGCAGCTGGCTGGAAAGACGGCTTCTCGTGTACCCCCCTCTCACCATCCATGCTGCTGCCTCTCTATCAGAGGTAGCAGTGTGTGGGGGGAGGAGAATGGCTCCAGGGGACCCGGTGCTCATGGGGAGCTGGCTTAAAATGTGTGTAGTCCAGGCTAGGGCCGGACGGAGGCATGGGTGAGCCGGGCAGCTGGCTGGAAAGACGGCTTCTCGTGTACCCCCCTCTCACCATCCATGCTGCTGCCTCTCTATCAGAGGTAGCAGTGTGTGGGGGGAGGAGAATGGCTCCAGGGGACCCGGTGCTCATGGGGAGCTGGCTTAAAATGTGTGTAGTCCAGGCTAGGGCCGGACGGAGGCATGGGTGAGCCGGGCAGCTGGCTGGAAAGACGGCTTCTCGTGTACCCCCCTCTCACCATCCATGCTGCTGCCTCTCTATCAGAGGTAGCAGTGTGTGGGGGGAGGAGAATGGCTCCAGGGGACCCGGTGCTCATGGGGAGCTGGCTTAAAATGTGTGTAGTCCAGGCTAGGGCCGGACGGAGGCATGGGTGAGCCGGGCAGCTGGCTGGAAAGACGGCTTCTCGTGTACCCCCCTCTCACCATCCATGCTGCTGCCTCTCTATCAGAGGTAGCAGTGTGTGGGGGGAGGAGAATGGCTCCAGGGGACCCGGTGCTCATGGGGAGCTGGCTTAAAATGTGTGTAGTCCAGGCTAGGGCCGGACGGAGGCATGGGTGAGCCGGGCTGCGGCACCGGCCAGCAGCACCCTTCTGCCCACAGCTGTGAGGCCCTACACGGCCTGGCGTGTGCGTCAGCAGCGACAGCTGGGTTGGACTGGGCTGCGCATGCGCCGTGCGCCCTGGGGGCGGGCCCTGGGCTGCGCGCCAGTGGCCATAGCTGGGCTGCGCATGCGTCTCGGGCTGCCCTGGTCCAGGCTTATCGGTTAATTGTGTAGTCAACTACACGGTGACGTCCCTATGCCCCAGAAGCAGATGCATCTCAGCACTGGGTGAGGGAGAGGGATGCTGTTGAGTTGCTGGGGAACAGCTGCATCCCCCTCCTGGTGCTGCTACCACTCCCTGTTAATGAGACAGTATCCGAGGGGAAATGGCAGGGTGTTTTCCATGGAGACCTACTGTGGGAGGAGCAGGCTCTGGCTGGGCTGCCGTAACCAAGGGCTTTTCACAGCAAAGGCAGAGGGGCTGGGGGAGCCAGAGGCTCCACCTCCCCTCCCTGCGTCCCTGAGAGCGGGGGAGGTTGCATTGAACTGGCACAGCCGGTGTGTTCCCGGCTCCCAGTTGATCCCTTTCAGCCTGAGAGGGGCCTGTTACTAACAGCATGTGAGGCTACTCCCCTGCCCCCACAAGTGTGGCCACCTCTGAGGCAGAGCATGTCAGCCAGGGAACAGCCACTCAGTAAAGCTGTAGAGGACTGCCAAGTCTGCATGACTGGGAGAAAAGGACCCTCTACCTATTCCCTAAAGCATGGCATAGCCCCCTAGCACTGCCCAGGGCCCTGCCTGCCAGGAGAGAGCCCACTGTTGTCCCCCCCATCCCTCCCAGAGCCACCCTGGGCCTGAGTGCCTACTCTAAACACCCCACTGATCCCCCCCACCCATGAGTACCTACACCCAACAACCTCTGATCCCCCATCCATGGGTACCTACCCCCAACACTCCACTGAGCCACCCCCGTAAGCACATACCCAGAGAAACTCTTTTCTCCCCACCCCAGGATTACACACCAGCTGTTCTAGCCTCCATCTTGAGGATCATATCCTGGCCCTGACACTCACCCTGCCGACATATCCGGGTGCAATTCTGCCTTCTCTTACCCACATCCCAATGATCTCCCCCTTCTTCTGCCTGAGGATTAATGAGCTGATGCAGTCCTGGGGGAGGCTAGTAGCTTGGCCCCTCTGCAGTAGCTGACATGGCTGGGAACAGGTTTTGTGATCTGGCCTGGGGTTTAAGATATCTGGCCTGTCCAGAAATGAGCTGAATTCCCCTCAAACTTGTAATGCATGTGTGGGGAGGCGGGATGGTCCTGGCACCCACCTGGCAAGGAGAGTTGTGACCCAATGATAGGGGGCAGGGGCAAGGTGTTTTATCTGTTCCTGTAGTAGGTTATTGGGGGAAGGCATCAGGCCAGTGGGGTTCCATTCCTGGCTCTGGGAGAGCATTGGGGGGGCTGGGAGGCATGATGGTGTCCAAGCACATTGGGGAGGTCCATGTGGTGCTGGGGGTGAGTGAGGTCAGGACACTGGGCTGTCTCAATCTCCGTGTTGTGATTCTGTGAGATTTCTGCACCTTCTTCCATGGTTTAGTGCCAGAGCAGGTCTTCCATCCTCCCTGCTCTCTGCCGTCCTCATGCAAGGGAGGCTCTGTGAGCAACTATAGAGCAGTGAGAAAGACGTGGTTGGGGAGAGAACCAGCACCTGGGGTGCAGGAGGACTGGCTGCCAGACTCCCATATGGATGGAGGGGGGTGCCTCCTTTGATGCTGGCAGAAGCTCTGTTCCCCCAGCTGTCACACGCAGTGTGCTCCCAGGACCTGGCTTTCCTGGTGGGGTGGGCTCATCCTGAGCCTCCCAGTCAGTCTCCCCATCAGGGTCACATGGGAACCGGTACCCCCGGAGGGGACAAGGTCCTGCATCCCTTCCCTGCTCCCCTGAGCCAGCACAGCCCTGCCTGGGGCTGAATGGGAGCTGTCATGGCCTCAGGGAAGAAGACCCATGTCCCATTCCTTGAGCTGTGCACAGTGCTAAGTGGGCTCATCTCAAAAAAGATCTCTTGGCATTGGACAAGGTTGAGAAAAGGGCAACAAAAATGATGAGGGGTTTGAAACGGGTCCCATATGAAGAAAGATTTAAAAGACGGGCTTTTCAGCTTGGAAAAGAATGGATGAAGAGGGCATATGATAGAGGTCTATAAAATCATGACTGGTGCAGAGAAAGTGAATAAAGAAAAATTATTTACTTATTCCCACAATATAAGAATTAGGGGTCACCAGATGACCTCACTCAGCACACAGTCAACCTGTACAACTCCTTGCCAGAGGATGTGGTGAAGACTAGGACTTCAACAGGGCTCAAAAAAGAGCTAGTTAGATTCATGGAGGTTAGGTCTATCAATGGCTATTAGCCAGGATGGGCAGAAATGGTGTCCTCAGCCTCTCTTTCTCTGGATGTGGGTGACAGGAGAGGGATCAAGTGAGGATTACCGGTTCTGTTCCCTCCCTCTGGGGCATCTGGTATTGGCCACTGTCGGCAGACAGGACACTGTTGGTCTGACCCATTATGGCTGTTCTTATTGGTTCCCTTCAGGGTCTTGGCTGGGCCAGGGCACCCAGTGTGGAGCTCTGAGCCCTGCACAG